TGGCTGAGACCGCTCTACAACATTTCAGTTTGCAGCATACAGGTTTTGAGAAAAATATTGTGCTCTCAAACATCAACAAGAAGATCATTCTATAATTTTGGATTTCACAATTTCTATGAAATCAGGTTTTTTCCTTGTGATGATTAAATTTGTTGACATAGTCTTTTTTTTCTAAAGTCCTCCCTTCTCTTGCCTCTCGTGTTTCTTTTTTAATTGTGACTCAGGGATATGTAGAAAAAAAAAAAAGTTCCTGTGATGAAGGAAATAAAAAAATGTAAGAGTTTCGATATTCAAAAATTTTTCATTGCAAAAGAATGGAAGTGCAAAATTTTGGCCCGCGCAATTTTCATCGCTAATCTTGCTGGCAAATACAGACTTATGTTCAAATACTAAAATTTTGTTTAGTGAAACTGTTGAAAAGAAAAATACAGGAGGGCCGTCCGCTATATTTTTACAATTGAATGAAATTTTCACTTCATGCATGTTTTCGTTTTCTCACTCTGAAAAAACCGCTTATATTCTTAGTCCAAAAATGTTCGCTTAGCATTCGAATATTAGAGCTAAAGGAAAAAGGGGGTAAAATAGCATCTTATTGCCCAAAACTGTTCAAAATTGGCCGAAAAAGTTTCACTTTGCACAAAAAAAATAACCTGGATCAATTTTTGGTCCTATTTGATCTTTTTGGTCAAAAAAACGTGCAATTAAAGGTTTCACTGGAACCCCAAAAGACCTTTTTGCTCAAAAACAGCAAAATTCTCCAAAAAAAGATCAAGTCTAACTTTTAATAATCTGGTATCTAGATGAAACTTGCACAACCGCGTCTAAAGCTGAAGCCACATTGCTTTAGGTGAGTCTACTCCACTTCATTAGCCTCTCGTAAGACACATAACCGCCCGATTAACCTAGCCGGAACCAAATATGACTCGCTTGAAGTAATCTAAAGTGACTTCGAGCATGTATTGAACAAAGCCAACGCGTATAATGTTTATACTCTTTTTAAGCTACAGTAACGAAAGTAGAAAAGTTCGGGTGCTTATCTCAGAGCCCGACGTACTTAAAAGACGAACGCTAAGTAAAGCAAATAATTTTAACCTTAGTTATTTGACTATAGCAGAACAGCTAACGAGGGATAGTGGAGTCGGAGCCTGTCGAAGCTGCTCAGCTCTGGTGTAGAATCAAAAATGTTACGTCAGTACGTAATAAATAAAATGTTACGTCAAAAATGTTAATGTCAATACGTTCTTCTATATCTGCATGTAATGAACATGAGTTTTTATTTAACATTTTTGATTCTACACCAGAGCTGAGCAGCTTCGACAGGCTCCGACTCCACCCTAGCTTCGGCTCCGGCGCCAAAAAACGAGAGAAGAAGAAAAGAGAAGGAAAAACATACTATTGTTCTTCTGAAAATCTTTTTGAAGTAAGATTTTACAAATATACTCTATAGCTGCATGATATATACATAAAGAATCTTCTTTCGAAAGCGTTACATTTAATAGAAGGAAGTCAAGATTGACGCTGCATATATTAACGTGTCATTAGCGCACACGTTTATATTACTATCTGCCGTAAAAGTGTCATTTTTACCTAGATCGAACGCGCACACTGGCCCCGACTCCGACTCTGAACTCAATGCTTCCAGTCAATGTTTTTTTTCATAACTTTGTAGAGCGGATCAAGCTGTATATAGCCTGAAGTGGTTTCGATGAACATACTTGTAATTGATGAGAAAAGAATTTTTTACAAATTTCATACGATTTTGATCATCTGTTTAAAAAATTATGAAAGATTCAAAATTAAAGCTGGAACTCTTATTGTTAAGCAGTTCCGCAGCGCACATTAAGTGACGTATACTCATAAGTTATAACGAAAACTGAACCAATATATCAGAGAAAATTAACAATTTTCATTCTAGTGTAGGTTGAGCCTTTAGAGTAATTCTTCGAAACTGATGCACGCATTTCAAAAACGACGCAGCATTTTAAAGAAACGCTTTCGCTTGCACCGTTGTTCAGGATAATCCTCGTCATATGCTAAGCTTTTTCATTTTAGTGGGAAAAGTTTGAAAAAATGCCATTCATATAAATTTTAAGTTAATTTAAAGCTCAAAACTTTTATTCGTGATTTATTTTAAACTTTTCTCACTAAAATGAAAAAGTGCTCCGCTCAGGGTACGAATAGGGTTATCCTGAAACAAACATTGTCACGAGACTCAGGATGTTGGATAATCCATGTTTCCATTCATTTTTGAGATGACCACACCTAAGGAAATATCGATCCTGGAGCTTCGAGAAAATCGGATGCCAAGCCTAAACTACGAAAGATTAAGACATCGCTTAATTTCCATTTTCTAGAGGACATTTAAAACTATCATATTTACACGAGAAAATATAGTAGTCACTCTGGTAGATCTTAGAATTACGACCTATTCTTTCAAAGACTAATAAAGTACACCACCTGCAGGTGGTATTTCCTGAGATATTTTTGTCTAGCAGCTGATTATCTCCTCTATGCAATGCTGAAAATCAAAGCCTATATATGAAAAAATCTCAAAACTCCCCACATCAATGACAAATTATAAAACAAGATACAAGATTTTGTAGCGCTTGAGTAGCTGATTCGAATTATGTATTATTCGTCATATTTGAGCAAGAGGGATTTAGGAAAAAAGTAATGCAAATTACCAGATTACATGAAACTGACATCAGGTTTTTGGAAAAAATTTATAAAAAGTCTGTTAGATAGAAATTTTTTCTTCCTCTTTTACATACATAATAACTATGAACAATTGTGCATCTAAACATACTTCAACCAAATTTTTGTCATTATTCCTGAATGACTTTTGAGACATCGAAAATCAGCCGCTAGATCGAAAATTTTGATCAAAGGCGAACGTTAAAAAATTCATAATTTTACCTATATTCATAGGACCGCCGAAAGGCGACTATAACGTTTTGACCCCAGAGACATATATATAGGTTTGTACAGGAAGACTTCCTCTCTCTAGTGACGTATATAGTATCAAATTCTGTTGCGTATCCTGAGAGAAAATGAAACGTAACTCTTCTCTCTTTTAGACTCCTTTAGAAATACGTTTTATTTTTGAGTTAAATATTATGCATTATAGAGTAAAGTGTCCTCTACAAAACAAGATCACTCCCAGCTCTCCAAGATCTTTCGTTGAGGAGATACGAATTTTCTCCTCAGAGATAATCAGGAGACTGCGGAAGTTACAAGAGCTTTTTTGGCGATGGTTGAGATTCAAATTTTTTCTCACTCGAACTGAATCACAAAAAGTTTGGTTTTGTGTGTCTTTTGAAGATCAGACTTTGTTCTTTCCAATGGAAAAATAATTAACTTTCCAGCACATCAGGAACGTATAGAAATAATACTCGACATTTTTCCAATTACTTGTGCCTCGCGGGTTAGGATCAAACTACAACTGAAACTGAAGCACAAGTGCAGACGTTTTCACATCTGTTTTGCAATCGTCCGAAGTTCAGCGCATGAATTCGGGAGAAACTCCCTGGTCTTTAACGCAACAGTAGAGATATTCATTTTACTTTTACAGCAAGATTGTGTAGATAGTACAAGGGGAAAAGGCGGAATGGGCTGAAATGGGCCATTCCGTACCAGTCTATACCATTCCAAACATTTTTGACCATTTTGAAATGGTATGGAATGGCCCATTCCAACCCATTCCGTACCATCTATACCATTCCACAACGCTTTTTCTCCCTTGAGCTGTTTCAGCTGTTTTTACCTAAGTTGCAACGCTTGGCCCCTCGGAATTCAGATTGTTGTTTCGTAACATTTGCCCAAGTTTTTAGCTTGAAAAACCAAAAAAAAATATTAACCTATATCCCCTGAATTGTGCTTGTTAACTTTCGAGGAATACTCAGAACATTTCATAAATCATAGTTCAAGTCTAGAAAACTGGTCTTATTTTAGGGTCCAATTCAGGGTTTTTCAGAGAGCTCCCTGAAAACATCAAGCTTAATCTATCACCAGGGCAGTTCTCTGACATTACCGAAATTTTTAGTGGCCCAAACGACACGCTTCCTGAAGGTTTCACTTATTTTGGATCAAAAATGAGTGAGTTATGAGTATTTTAATTTTACATGGACATAGGTGAAAAACAGAGTTTTTTAAAAAAATGGCTCTTCTAAAGTCCCAACAATCTTAAAAAGAAAATAAATATTGTCACGGTGATCGGGGATGTTGATAACCTATAGTCCATGTCTTTTTTTATTCCTAAGTCAAAGTTGTGTAGGTTAGAGAGATCCTCGGAAAATGCCGGTAACTCCTGAACCAAAACAGACAGAAATCTGGAACTTACATAGTTTTAACAAGCACACTTCAGAAGATAGAATCAACATTTTGAAATTAAAAATCCCTTTTTTCCGCAGAAGTGGACAACTTCTGGACTTTGTCTGGAGCACTTTACCATGGTAAACCTCATCTGAAAACCTGATTTTTTTGAAATTTTCACTTCCCATCAGCTCCTCTATCTAATAGCAAAAATCCCATCATTCTAGCTCTTTCCGTTAAAAAGTTAGTCAAAAAATGGCGAGTATCATTCCTTTATGAGCGGATAGATAAGTGTTGTATTTATCTACGAAATCTTCTTGCAATCCCCAAATCAAATGCGAAACCTTTTCTTGTTTCATACACTGAGCACAAAACCTTTTGATCTACGAAACTCTTAGAGATTCAGTAAATCAACGTGAAATCATTCAAACTTCGAAAATGATCCACGAAACCTTTAAGGTGTCGTAGGAAACCATTAGCTTTTCTAGAGAGTAGCAATTAGATATAAACCCAAGGTGTCACTGCATACCAATTCTAACATATACTAAACAACTGACGTCATACATATGAGATTAAAGTGAGTTTCAAAAGAAAATAAGTAAAAAATTCGAAGTCTCTTGTTTATGAGTTTTAAAAGAATGTGTATAAGTTCTCAAAACTTAATTTTGTTTATTTCTCTAATAAATAATTTAGATTTTTAATTGTGTAAGTTTCTTTCTTAAAACTGCACCGATACCAGTTGCTATAAATGCTAGAACTTTTAATAATAGAGGTGTATCGACAATAAAAAATCCAAATAATCGTATTGATTGTATTTTTCTAGAATTTGTACAATAAATAATTGTATTTGTTAAATAATTATGATTAATTTTTAAATCATTTATTTTTGATGTCATTTTTCTTGTAAGTTGATCATCACTATTTTTATTCAAATTTTCTAGATCTTTTTCATAATGTATTAATAATTGTGTTATTAATTTTTGTTTATCTCTTAATAATTGTAAAAAATCATCTGTTAGTATTTTATTAATATAAATAACAATTGCTAAAAATATGATAATAAATATTGATAAAATAATAATATTATAGAGTAAAAATATTGTAAATAAATTACCTAATTTATCTTTATGTAAAAATAGTCTTATTAATCCCATTAATGCTAAACCAAAATCAATTATTAATGCAAAACCAATTGTTGCAATATAAATTTTATTTTTATCAACTTTTAATGTTTGATTTCTAATAAATGCTAATACATATTCTAAACTATTTGATTTTGTTATATCAAAATAAAATGGTGAATCCATTTCTAAAAAATGTTCATTTGTATCAATACATGTCATTAAATTTTTTAATTTACGAGCTAATGATCCATAGATTGAAAGACTTGTGAATAGAGTTCCAAGAAATAATGTATAAACAAGATAATTTGAAATAATAAATGTATTTTCAATTACTTTAACTAAACGATCAACAGAATTATGTTTTTGATGTGTTTGATGATGTCGATGATAATGATAATGAAATTTAATTGCTGTTTCATTTGAATTCCAATTAATTAATGGAATAAGTGAATTACCCGTAACAATAAATAAAATAACAATAATACCAATAATGATTAATTGAACAAATGTCATTTTATTATAAGATCCTATCTGTTTTGTAAGTTGTGTTCTTGATGAATACATATTTTTTCGTGTTAAAAAATGAACATTTTCATCTTTATCTTTATCATTATCACCTGTTAAACATTTAAGTCGTTTATGTTTTTGTTTTTTTTCATATTCATCTTGTTGTGTTTCAATAACATCTGCTAATGTTTCCATAATTTCAATTTCACTTTGTTCATATGTTAATTGAACTAATTTTAAATGTTTTTTTCTAATAAATGTTTTATCAATAAATTCTGTTGAAAATATTAATATAAAATAGATTAATAAAAATACTGGCCAATATGTTTGAAATAATATTTCAAATAATTCTTTTGGATATTTAATTGAAAGATAATGATATATACCAACATTTATAAATGGTACATAGGCAAATAATGATAATGGAAATAGAATAAGAATAGTAAATACATACAATAGATAGCGGCATATTTTTGTATAAGAAAATTTTTTTGTTATAAAATGAAAACTTTCAAGTATAACTTTAATAGGAAATCCAATAATTAATAAAATAAATTTTAATGTTTCACAAATAAAATGCATTAATGATATATCTTCTACAATTTGTTTTGAATGTATTTCCATTGATTCATTTAACATTTTATCAAGTATTATTAAAAAATGTTCATTATATATATGTTGAATTGAAAATGATTTATTATAAAATAAATGAAATTTTGTTCGACGTATATATTCAACTAAAATATCAATAAATATATGTTTAAAATCATTTAAATCATATTGTTTATATGGAATAGTTGGTATTATATCAGAATAACTTAAATGATCATGATTTAATCCTTTATCTTTAGTCCATAATTTTGATTCTTTAATATTAAAAAGTTTACATAATGTTAATAAACCAATATCAATTTCTCGTTTTTCTAATGTTAATGATCTATCACGATCACAATAGCGAAAAAATCGTTCAAAATTTTTATCATATTTTTTATTATGAAATATTAAATGTAATAATAGAAAACGAATAGATAATAAAATTGCATAAAAATCATAAAATTTATTTCTTTGACTATCAAGTATTTTATCATCATCAGATAAATTATCAATAGTTGAATTAGAAATAAATGTTAATATTGAAGTTAATGGAAAATATTTTAATTTATCATTTAATGTTTCATGATTTTGTAATTCATGTCCACAACAGATTAATGAACAATTATTAATATTTGTTATATTATTTAAATGTAATTGATCAATAATATATTCTTTAATTGATTGAATATTATCATCAAATTTTGTACTTTTTATTGTAACAAAACGAGGTGTACACTTTTTTATTTTTTCTTGTTTTTGAACAAAATGAATAAAAACTTCTGTTATTGGACTATGAATAATTTTTAAATTTTGTTCAGTTGGTACAAATAAAATATATACTGTAGTAGTTGTTCCACTAACTTTTTCAAGAGAACGCATGATATTAGTGTTTGAAGAAGAGATTAATTCACCATCAATCATCAATAATGTATTATACTCTCGTTCTAATTGAACGATATCATCTTTTGATATGATAGTTTGAAGTAAATTTTCTATTGTGAAATTGGAATTAATTTGAACTGATTGAATTAAATTATCATCACTTTGCGGTATGCGTTGTAAACGAGTCGTATTATCAATTCTCATAAATGTTGGCATCACAAAGACATTTAATAACTTATGATCATAAATCATTTGAGTTGTTGTTGCTGCTGACATCTTTTCAATCCTACAAAAGTATATGGCTACAAACTAAATCTTTTAAAACAACATCATCAAGGATTCACTTTTTTTCTATTCCTCTTTGTATATGTTGTATTGAAGTTAGCATGTTTATCGAAGTTATAACTCCAATAAAAATTTCATTCAAGTAGTAACTTCAACAAATCGTTTTGTCGAAGTTACAACGTCGATAAGGTGAGTTATGATTAGCTAAACGGTAATTAGTTGATTATTTGAATGACGGCGTGGCTAGCTAACTCTGCTACCGTAAAGGAATTTCGTAACGTTCTTTCATCATGTTGTTTTGTTTATAAATCATAAATCAAACGGCACAGACAGCTGCGATACGTCTTAAATTGAAGAAAAATAGGTTATAAACATCTTAAAATGCGTCTCATCTTTGTAACATGTCTCCTTTTAAAGATCTGATAGAAATGTTGGCAATTGCTTTTCGTATGAATGATTAATGAATGACTAATACATCATAATGATCGTATGAATGATTAATACACAGTTTACGAACAATCATGTACCAGTTTGTAGTTTTATTCCAAATTTTGGCACATCAACACTTGTGCTGATCTTTTCTGATACTCAACTTTCCATTTTCTGAACATAATTTTGATGATGTCATTCAAATAATCAATTAATTACCGTTTAGCTTAATCAAAACAACTTCGATCACTTACCTTATCGACGTTACAACTTCAACACAATCCGCATCACAGCTGTAACTTCAGTAAAATTTTTATCGAAGTTATAACTTCGATAAACATGCTAATTTGAATACGACATATACATGTAACATCATCAAAACAGACAAAAGAGATATTATGGCCTTCTTCCGTTTTCTGCTATTTTCTCCCCATTAGTGAATAAAGTTTACAGCAAGAATCTGATAGATATTCACAAGCATGACGAGTATGAAAACGACGCTCAGTCCTTTAAGTGGAACTATTCATTTGAAAGTAGAACACGAAAGATAATATTTGAAACATTGTAAGTGATTTTTGAGATTCAAGTTTTTGAAATTGGTAGTCTCTACACTCGTATTGAATTTATTAAAAGTTATTTTCTCTTGTCGAGCAGCAACGAAGAAGGTACGTTCTGCAAAAATATGTCAGCTGAATTATGAAATCTGCAAGCAAATAACCACGAGATACAGATACTATTTGCTTTTATGTATCGCTTCTGTTTTCTGTTTTTTTCTCTTAAAATTTAGTATACAATTATTAGTTTACTATCCAGTGATTATTTTACAAAGAAAAGGAGTCAACACTTACTTTTTCTGTTGAGATGATATAGCATCAGTTTGTTGTGCATCAGAGTTGAAACACGTAAGAAAAAATCTGAGCAATCGGTTCCAACTGGTCGGAAAATATCTTTCAACCGGTAAAAAGTGGTATGAAATTGGACTGATTATTTCACTGTGTGCAGTACAGTAAAAATTCTGTAACCCAGTCAAAATAAAGAATTAAAAGCCGAAATTTTCTTCTGCACTTGAGCTAATAGTCTGAGAGCCATCTGCTCTGCGGGATGATTGGAAAGTAGACTTGTTTACAGAAAGATAATGTGCTTCTACGGGATATTATTCATATTATCATATATGCTGAGCCATTCTCCTATCAAACATTCTGCTTTAGCTTTCGTCGTATCAAGCACTGCAGTATATGTTCCGAAGGATATCATGTGATGATTAATTATCTCAAGGAAAAACTATAGAGGGGTCCTGACTTTTTTAAGATGTTCTGTTGTTTTTACTGTTTTACTTCAAGAAAAAAAATTCAATAACTTGCTAATTTAGAAAGATACGCCTTGAACAAAGGTTGTGCGAGGTCTGTATGATAACGTGTGTATTTTAGCTAACTGAGAATATTATCTATTTTTTCAATAACAACTTCAGTGCGTTTTCATTCCAGCATTGATTCTTCATAGTTAATTGTCTTATGGGCATTCAAATCGCAATTCTATTCTACTTTTTCACGAATTATACTATGTAAAACGTATGATAAATTAAGTTGTAGTGTACACCGAACTCATGAATATAAAGTTTACAGACTGTCCGTCCACAAACGATTAATGTTGCTTGTTTATGATCACAATTAAAAGGTGAGCGTTTGACAATAGGGGTAGCACTTTTCCTTTACTTTGCTCGGGAATAGTAACTAAATCAGTTATGCGTTACTAGTAACGCATAATTGATTTAATTACTTCGTTACCAGTAACGAGCAATTAATTTCATTAAGTAACGAAACTGTTTTTTAACGGATTTCTAAAGAGTAATGAAGTAATGAACTTAATTACTCGTTACTGGTAACGAATAACTAAAAACATACTTCTTTTTTAGTAACGAGTAACTAACTTAAAGTAACGCCGAGTAACTACTTAGTAATCTGCTACTGTCATTTAACAAGTGAATCATTTTGTCTTCCTGTCTTTTAGCCAACCTTGCGAAGCGTTACGTATCGCGTAGTTCAGTTATTTTTAAAGCGAAATCCGGACATTGATTCGATAATATTCTTTTGATACTGTATACTCTTGACCCTTTTGAACTCTACGTTTTCAGTGATATAACTGAGCTTTACGTTTGCGCACAGACAATTAACTATGAGGAATCAATACTGGAATGAAAAAGCGTTGAAAGTATTGTTGAAGAAATAGATAATATTCTTTGTTAGCTAAAATGCACACGTTATCATACAGACCTCGCACAGCCTTTGTTCAAATCGTATGGAAAAGAATCGTTTACATATTTGTAATCAGAGTATCAAGCTCAATAAAGCAACCTATATTCCATTCCAAAACAGTAAATTCCGAGACAAGCTTCAGATGTGTGCTAGAAGAGATCACAGTTGTGAGTACAGGTCCGAAAGGGCGTGGTAAGAGCTGCAGACCTGTGCTGGGCAATGGGCCTAGAACTGTACGCCAATGCTATACTAGCAGCCGAAAAAAATTTATTCTCGTCAAATTCAGATTGAGCTACAACAAGAATGTTTCGTACTGAAAATGTATGTAAACGACATTTTTGATAGTTTTGGTTACTAAATTCATCTTCTGCAGAACATGTACAATTACTGTCCTTAAGAATTGAATGACATTGTCTGATAAAATAAAAAAACTCCGTACCTGTTTGCAACAAAAATAAAAGTAGTGGTTACCTGTTGTTGAGTTACTAAGAGTAGTATAATTAAAAGTTTTTTCACCTATGCATACACATTATACAAATATACACTATTTCTGTTTTGCAAAAAGAAAAAAAGGTGTACTTCGCGTTTTTCTTACAAAATAAAAGAAAAAATTATGTTGAATGAAGCTCACCACGATACTTACCTTTTTCATCCTTCAGTGTTTACCATTTGTTTCTTATACCCAAGCAAATGTCACCTACGGGAAAAATCTCGATACATTTCGTCTGCAATCGGGCGATACACGACTAGTTGCCATCTAGATTACTCGTTGGAAAAGGGACTTTTAACTAGATGTGTCTGCAGGTGCATCTAGTAATAATTAAATCGATCGATTATCCGGCGATAAATCTATAGTTGCAACTAGAAAAAATCTAGTAATCGCTCAATTACTAGATTTCTACTGTCGTTACACAGTAGTTGCAATCGAGTAAAAATCTAGTAATCTAGATGAATCGGGCGATACTAGATTTTTTTTTGACGCTTGGGTAATCACTATACTGAAACATGATTCAAAGGACGTGGAAGGACACATACATATATGAGAACGCATAAGTATAAGAAAAGGTTATCTCTTTTAAGGTTGGCTTCATCCTTGATTTTTACGCCAGTTTGCAGAGCAAATACAGGACATCAAGTTCTATATAGAAAAGTGTTCATCGCTCCAGCATGAAGTTTGATAACAAAATTCAAATTATTAAAAAACCTTGTTCATCGTTTCTCGAAAAGGAAGTATTTCGGAGTAAAAGTGTGGACTTTTGCTCCAAAATGCTCTGTTAAAGGGGAACTTTGTTCAACACTCACGCCGATTTCAGGTCCAAGGTCACTGAACATCCAACTGTAGAAAAGATTCATTTTTTCGATTTTTCACGTTGTTCCAGGATTCAGTATAGCAGACTGTCTACATCGAGCGACTTTCAGATCACCCTATCACTTTTACGAAGCTCAGAAAAAACGCTAAGATAGGTTTGGAATTTGGATACTTACGAAACGGACGGGCGGTTTTTGTATTTTCTAATTCAAAAATTGAATTCAAGGAGCTAACGTAAGATAAGAAAAAAGTGATGTTTTTCAGAAAAAATTTATTTTCTCAAAACCTATCAGAATTTGACAGCTGGAACGTTCAACATGTTTTAGTCCAGCGGTGTTGATTCATTTGTCAGGATGTTGGCCGTTTTACCTTACACTCAAAATACAGCGTTTCTCCTTCCCAGTGCGAAGAATTCTGCCCCCACTAGAAGGCTTTCTAATTTTTTTAATTATTTTCGATTTTGTTCTGAATCTCTGACATTTTCTTTTTTAAACAGTTAAACAACTAAAACCTACAACAAAAGTTTTGTTCGGCTTTTTAACCTAATCGTTAGATTTAATGTTCTTATCGCTCACCTGACTACAACTGATCCATTTTAAAAAGTTTTTTTGAAAAGTAGGTTTTAAAGTTATGGTAACATTAGACCAAGTTTTTAATCATATTTTGGATTCAGCATCAAAAACTGATTTAGATTTCATAATTTTCGTATTTCCAGGTTTTCGACCCAAAAAGAGGTAAATCGATCTCTGTTTACGATCGAATACTATTTCGCCGACAAAATAGACATATATATATAGGGCTGAACAAGTCAATTCACTTTTGACTTGACTTGACCTGAAAAGCTTTTTATAACTCATGACTTGACTGGACCTGACTTAAAATTTTTTTAAAAAGACTTCATTTATGACTTTGCATAAAAAATCAACTCAAGTCATACATATTTTTTAAATCTCTTATGCAATCTAATATTAAATAATAATTCATAATGATTTGGGAATTTT